GTGTACTCAAAGGAATGATATCTGGAAGATGGTTGTGTTCTATTTTACAGAATTTGGAAAATTAAAATATGTGTACACAGCACAGACACTTATTCAGGTTTTCAATGGGCAACTGCTTTGAGCTCAGAAAAGGATGATTCAGTAATCACACGTTTATTAGAAGTTATGGCCATCATGGGTATACCTGCACAAATAAAGACAGATAATGCTCCAGCATATGTGTCTAAGAAAATGAAACAGTTTTTTGCTTATTATAAAATAAAGCATATTACAAGTATACTACACAATCCTACAGATCAAGCAGTTATAGAAAGATCAAATCGAACTATGAAGGATATGTTAAACAGAAAGAAAGTGATGGAAAATACCCCCAGAAATAGATTACATAAAAATTATTTAGTAATAAATGCTTTATTGACCTTGAATTTTCTTAGCACTAATGAGAACGAGACAACAGCAGCAGAGAGATATTGGATAATAGAAAAGTCTTCCGGATTAAATCAGCCGGTATATTTTAAGGATGTGTTGACTGCACAATGGAAGTCAGGAGATGCACTATGTTGGGGAAGGGGTTTTGTTCTTGTTTCCATAGGAGAGGAAAAACTATGGATACCATCAAAATTAGTAAAGATTCGATTTGAAAAAGAGAAATCTCTTGAGAAAGAGAAATGATGGCTCATCCACAGAGGTGACATCAATCAGGTAGTAAGGAAACCTCATAAGCGTTGGGGTAGGGTTCTGTTCCTGTCTTTGTAGGAAAATACTCATCTTCAAAAATTCAAGAGACCCTGGACCAAAGAGGAAAAGATAATTATCCAGATAATTATCCAAGCAAAGAGAATTATGACTTATGAGGACAAGTCATCTGAAGGCAAGAATCTCTAAATAAAAATTAGAATAATAGTCATGACTCTCTTAAAAATCAAACCTGACTTTGGAGTTGAATAACAGCTCTATCCTTCTCTAAATCCAAGCATATTGTTAAAAGAAAACTTCGTAGTTTCTGTCTCATATCAGGAGCTGTCTGGTATGGGACAGAAAGGAGAAATAATTTAGAAAAAAAATTTTACTTTTCTTCATACCTATTTTTGGCTCTATCGTACCTTTCATTGAATATATGTCTGTATAAAGAATGTTTAAGTTTTCCACATTGAACAATGAATTTCCATGCAGTAATCTTTTGAGTTTTCAGGAAGAAGATGGGGCCCCACAACAATGACTCCACCTGGTTGATATGACATCATGATGCTGATAACACTACTATAAGGTCTGTTTTGGATAGCAGCTGATCAAGGTGATTTCAACTTGGTTAGCTAAAATTGTACAATTTTTTACAACATTCTGGTCAGCACTCTAAATAGGAACCTCAGAAACACCCTACCAAATTCTCAGAGACTATTTGCAATTATACCAGACAGTAATCTTGAAGCTTAACCATCATTTTACTGTCACAGGATCCCATAGAAAGAATGTGGCCACCGTGACAGCTGGAAGTAATTCTAAAAATGACATCCCCTCTCCCAACAAAGTTTTTCTCAGGGTTAGAAACATCATTTAGGGATTGACTATAACTGCTATAGGATTGGGGGTTGGGGGAAATTATGTAAGCTCAGGGATCTCTTTAAAAAAGGGAAAATGTATGGAATAATAGACTAGTATGAGCTTACTCACACTAATAATAATAGTGAGTAATAGAATGGAAAGTTGTAAACTATTATTTATAGGCAACTTACAATGGTATAGATTTTTGTATATTGATACAAATTCAAATTACATTTGTTATATTGAATATGCTCCTATTTCTGTACACAATATTTGCATACCTAGCCAAAGTTATTTTGTCATATTGTATACATACATGCTTCTAACACTGCTTAAGACATTCTGTATATTGATACAATTTTAGGATATATTTATCATATTACAATATATATTTCTACCTCTGATCAAGATACTTATAAATTGCTTACATTTTGAGGTCATTGTCCTCATTTGTTGCACAGTTTTTTAAAGATTGTTTAATGTTTTAATATGAAGTCTTTTTAGTCTTTTTTATGAAGTTTTTTTAGTCTTTAAGTTATATAGGAATTAAGAATTATAGATAAATAGTCATCCACATTTGTCAGACTTATAGTTAGACTAATCAGGTTCTTGAGATACATAGAAATTGTATTCTGCATAGATAGGTAATCTTCAAGCACTTCAAAGAGCTGTAGAATGTGGCATTTAAATAACTTAGGGTTCTGTTTATATGAGACATGATTGTTCCTGGCAGCACTGATCTATTCCTGAGAGAATGTTGAGCACCAAAGACACTCTACTTGGACCTTGTTGTCCTCTTGGAAAAACCACCCTTTGGACAAGAAACTGTCCATTCATCAACCACTGACAAAATGCATGATGTCCAGACAGGACAAGCAGGATACAAGAAATAAGACTGTCGAATCTTGCTAAGACAGGGTAAGAGGGTTTGAAAAATGTCCTGCCTCTGAAAATGGTCTGTCAGTTACTCTAGACCTTATCCAAAGTTGGTAGCTCCAGTGTTGCAAATGAGACTTTGGGAAATTGTTCAGGTAGCCAGTTGTCTCTGTCATTTGTTGCACATTTTGGAAGTTGCTTGATTGCACTTCCTGCTTACTCAAGTAATATTATTTCTCTTTTCAGGTCTTTGAAGGGGTTAAAGACTAAATAGTTGTAGTTACTTTCCTCTCATGACTTGGCCAAGTTATTTATAATATAAGATTTAAATTCCTTAGGATAGGATAATTATTGCAACATTTATCACGTTTCTTATTTGATATTGTTTATGCTGGTTGTAAAATTTTTATGCCTGATATTTGTTCTTATTGTATACAATTTTGTATTAGGTTTAGAACTTTCTTAAATAAGAGAGTTAAAAAAAACAAAAGAAGGAGGTGTTGTAGGAATTCCTACTGCCAGTACCATTTAAGTTACACACTCTCTTGGGTGTGGTCTCTCATACTATATATACCGATGTAAAACCACAGTCCCTCTCTCTTCTGGTCACGTTATTCAATTGCTGTTCCCTGTTCAAGCAGAGGACTATAATCTGTGAGTATACCCCTAAGTAAATAACCCTTTATTATGCTCAGTGCTGAACTATTGTGGGATTTCTTTTTAGCGTCAGTCTTCACAAATCATCTGAGGAAATTGGAAATGACAATGAAAGGTGTAAGGTATTAAATCATCGTTTTATTAAGTAAATTATCCTGAGACAACTCTAACCCTTTGCCATATCTTGGCTAACTCTGCTAAAAGGATATCTCATGTAGTAGAGCTTTTGCTTTAGTGAATTAAAAATTAAAATGTAGCCAGGCACGATGGTGCATACTTTTAGTCCTAGCACTTAGGAGGCTGAGGCAGGCAGAACTCCATGAGTTCAAGGCTAGCCTGGTCTACAGAGAGATTTAAAAAAACAAAACCAAAAAACCTAAGATGTAATACTGTGGGCTTTAGTTGCTCTTTTTGTTAGTGAATTAACAACCATAAGCAGCATTGGTTTCTTTTATTTTGTTGTTCTTGTTATTACTAATTTAATCTTATTACTTTTTCTGTTCTCTCTTTCTGAGGAAGGTGCATCCTCCTTCATATAGGTCTCTCGAGTTACAGAATAAAGCTTCTACAGACATGTGCTGCTGGCATGTGGCAGACAACAGAGAATTATCAGGTGTCCACTAAATTAGACTACTTTTGGCCTTCCCAGAGGAAAGCAAAGGTATACAAAGCTGTGTACATACTTGAGCTAAACAAAATAAGAGTTTAAAGATTACATTGTAACAACATCAATGAGAAACGGCTTGATGGGTTAGATAGCTTGCTGTGTAAGTGTGAGGGCTGGAGTTTGAATCTCCAGCCCCCTTGTAAACATCTGGGCATGGCTACATGTGCCCAGTGTAGAGAGCAGAAATGAGCAGATCCCAAGAGTGCCTGGCCAACAAGCCTAGTCAAAGAGGCAAACTCCAGGTCAGAAGGCAGAGTGATGCAGGGAAAAAAAGAATTCCTAAGATTTGGGTGTCTGCATCTCTTAGTTGCCCACCTTATTCAGCAAGGTTCTTCATTTTGTGTCCTTTACTCAAGTATTATTAGCTGCTCATTCATTTAAATCTGGGGAAGGACATGGCCGTGCCCACCCACCAGGAATCAGGAGACCCCATCCCAATCACCGTGCTGGCTGTTTCCTGCAGCAGATAAGGTGGAAAGAGCTGGTGCTCAGAACCTGGGGTCCATCGAAGACACACCCAGTGCTCATAGAGCACTGTCACCCAGAGATGCACACAGCAAGCATCCACTACAAGTCCTGTCCTTGCTATTACTGCCCACCAAAGCACAAGTGTCCATAACCATCTCTCATGTCTTCTTCTCCTCTCCTCAGTTGCAGCCGTCTCACAGCACCAAAGAAACCTGGTCCTGTTCCTCTGAGTGGAGCCCTAAGAACTGAATGAACTCTCTCAGGAAATGCTTCAAACACATTTGGTTGAAACTGGAAAGATAATGCAACTCCAGGAGGCTCCAAGCTGAGCAGATCCTGTCTAGTATGAATATACAGGAAGATCTCTCAAATTTGGTGAGGGAAGTCATTCTGTCTGTGTTGCTTTTATTGGTTAATGAATAAAGAAACTTCCCTGCTTTGGGCCTGTAGCAGGACAGAACAGAGCTAGGTGGGGAAAACTAAACGAAGAAGGCAGAATCAGGAGAAGCCATGTAACCTCCACCAGAGACAGACATGCCAGAACCTTATCTAGTAAGTCACAGCCACGTGGCAATACACAGATTAATAGAGAAGGGTTAGTTTAGGATATAACAGCTAGCTAGAAATAAGCTTAAGCTATTGGCCAAACAGTATTGCAAATAATATGGTTTCTGAGTGATTATTTTGGACTAAGTGGCCAGGAACAAACAAGCAGCCTCGTAAAACACAAGCTACTTGTTTAATAAACACAAACTGACTGGTGAACACCAGGACTGCCTTAGCGGAGACTTACCTTTTCCTGCAGTGCCTTTTTTAGTCTTGGAATCCTAAAACACAAACAGTAAGACAACATTAATACACAAATCATTTCTTTTTGTTTGGTTGGTTACTTTTTGTCAGTTTAGTTGGTTGGTTTTGTTTATTTGTTTTGAGACAGGGTTTCTCTGTGTAACTTGTTCTGGTTGTCCTGGAACTCACTCTGTAGACCAGGCTGGCCTAGTGCTCAAAAAGATCCAACTGCCTCTGACTCCCCAGTGCTATGGTTAAAGGCCTGTGCCTCCACTGCCCAGCAACTATGACTCATTTCATATATAAATAAAATATGTCTTGGGTCAGACAGGAGATGTAAATTAATTGAAATGATAATGACTCATTTGGATACTGGGCTAGTGAATGGATCAGAAGTTACATGTCACAGTGAGTCTTGTCTGCTGGTCACAATAATTATTGATGAAATGAGACAGACACAGGAGTGTCCAATAAGGCAGTTTAGCCCATGGTTTGCCTGACTTGGCACTTAGTTCATGTTTACTGTATGAACGCAGTGCACATGCTTCAGAGAGGTCCGTGACAATCTTATTCACAGCTGAGGGAACAGCACATGCGGGGTACACTGCTGGCCTCAAGATGATGGAAACAGAACGTCAGGCTTCTGATTATAAAGACACCAAGACCAAGAGATGCAAACTTTAACATCCTAAATGTATTACTATCGCACCCCCAAATCTGGACTCTTACAAAAGTGACAAAAAATGACTGCTTCACCGTTGTTTACAGTCCTTGCTCCCTCCAGAGTCTCAAGCTGCCATTCTCAGGCTGGTGTGACTTAGGCCCTCATCTACCATTTTTCTTTTTGAGACACAGTCTCACTATGTAGCCTTGGCTGATCTGGACTCCTTATGTAGATCAGGTTAGCTTTGAACTCATAAAGATCCTCCTACCTCTCCCTCCCGAGTACTGGAATTAAAGGTGTGTGCCACCTCACCCAGCTCATCTGCACATATTTTCATCATGGAGAATCCCACGTACCTTGGTATAACACCCCGTGGCCTTACCTTTTCTGGAACTGCCTCCTTAGAGACTAAAGCTTCATCTGGGTCTTTGGGCAACCGGACAGTTAAGTTGAATTTCCCTTTTCCTTGCCACACTGACACATGATTTCCTTTCTCCAGAACATTCTGCCGAACTGAAATGATAATTTAAAAAAAGATTTTAAGCCAAACTGGAAACAATCTTTACTTATATAATTAGTTCATGATTTCTACAGACTTCACCTTATGAACCAGCAGCTCAGCCCTTCTCCCTAAGCAGCAAGCCCTTTTAAAAGAGAAGGAGAATTAGCACATGGATGTGAATGTCACTGTGTGTGTATTATTCATGTTGTAGATGTGTGGGAATATGGAGGGATATACCTACCTGGTCATGTGGAGGCCACAGCAGGACACTGGGTATTTCCCTGCATTGCTCTCTTCCTTCCATCCTGGAGATGCGGTTTCTCACTGAACCTGAAGTTTGCCCATTGGCTAGACTTGCTGTGATCTGCCTCTACACTGGGCACATGGAGTCATGCTCAGATGTTTACAAGGAGACCAGAGATTCAAATTCCGGCCCTCACACTTACACATCAAACTATCTAACCCAGTGAGCCATTTCCCTGCCCCTAAACTTACTGGGGTGTTGTTTATTTGTTTATGTTGCTTTGTTGAGACAAGGCTACTCTATAACCCTGGTTGGCCTAGAACTTGTGCTGTAGACCAAACTGCCTCTGTCTCTCAAGTGCTAGGGTCAAAGCATGTGCTGCCATACCCAGATTACTTTTTAATATTCATTGCTTTAGCTTAGTTATCGAGTATTCCCCAAGGGCTTTGAGATTACAAACATGGTTGCCAGTTCATGGTCTAATGAAAGGCTCTGGAAGCTTTCAGAAGTGAGGCCTAGAGAAAGTCAGATCCCCCTGGGGAGAGGAGATGATCCTGGGACCCCAGGGCTTTCCTCCTTTCTGTATCACTACATATCCAAGAGTTCCCAATAGGGTGTACTGCCTTGTGCCATTACCCAAAATCTGCAGGCCAACTGACTATAGATCAATACTCCAAAATTGTAGAACCCAGATAAACCCTTTCTCTATTCAAGGTGATTACCTCAGATATGTTATCACACAAGGAAACTCTGGTGAATCTCATTAGCATCCTGCTACACAAATCCTACTTACACAGCCTCAGCCTCCTTATTGACTACTGAGGTCAGTGGAAATTGTTTTGAGCCAGAAAGTGCATTGCATTGAAGAAATATAAAGTTCAGTAGTACAGAACCCGTACTGCACTTGGTGGGCACTGAAGGTGGGAATATTTATAATTACAGGGACAACTGGGTACTTGATGAGATAAAAAACCATGCTGTAGGGAGGTGACCCAGTTGGTCATAAGAATGACCAGGAGTCCAGCCATTAGCCTACAATGATAAACAACCCATATTTGGTAGTAAAGGGAGCAGGAAAAAAAGTAATAGAAGAGATTTTGCAAAAACAGAATTAGAGCACCAGACAGCTGAACTTAGTGAAATTCAACAGAACCCAAAGACTTGCCATTTGATTTCCAACTCACCCACAGTCTAGCTAAGTGGCTATGAAGGAATAAACACTTCTGGAGCAGAGGTTCCTCACTGAAAGTTTTTTTCTAGGAACGCTGTCAACGACATGAAGAGCTATGAAAATGTGAACTGTGATATCAGAAGCTGCAGTCAGAAAAAGGAGAGGAAAATCAGTGTTGCTCAGACCATGGAGAAGCAGAAAGGAGCAGGGAGGAGCACAGTCATCATAGAGAACAGGAAAGGAACAGGAATCAGAATGGCCATCAAAGAGAGCCAATAGGAACAGGAAGGGGCGTGGTCAGCATAGAGAACAAGAAAAGAACAGGAGGGCTAGCGGACAGTGCAAACAGGTCAATGAGAAAGATACTGGACCTGGTGTTCACAGCTACAACAAAACCTTGGGTTTCCCTTGTTCTCTGAAGAACAGCTAGTCTGATAAGCTCAGAGCCTATCATAAATGAAACATGATGTCTCTCCCACCTCAACCATGAAGATGGCAGGCCTAGCGACTTCACTTAGACGTCCACCCAGATACAGGAGTTAGAATCTATCTGAGAAGGAACATGGGACTCTAACTCTATTCTATGAGTAGTCAGGAGTTTTCAGAGAAGCTGTACCAGGCTGGTGAGGGGACTGAGGACTGGGTGACCTCAGGGTGACCTCTGTGTGAACAGTCTGAAGAATGTTACCAAATGTCCTGAACCTCTGTGTTACATTCCTCCTCTTTCCTGGACTTTGGTGAAACCATCCACGTCATCCAAACATGGGCATCTCTTCTGGGATGTATGCAATGTGTATGGGCACAAGTATTGCCAGAGAGCCATGGTGGCAATAACTGTGTGATTCCCATCAAGAAAGTGAATCTGGGAGGAGGAAATAAAATTTTGATATCTTGTCTCTCCCCTGTGCCCACCTCAAGTCAGCTATGTTCAGTTTTACTTCAGAAGGTGGGTTCTAGGGTCACAGAGATGACTCCATGGTTAAGAGCACTGGCTGCTCTTCTAGAAGACCCCATTACTGTTACCAGCTCCCACATAGACATCTAAGACATCTGTATGTCCAGTTCCAGGGGATTTGATGCCCTCTTATGACCTATGCAGGTACTGCATGCATGTGGTATATAGACATATAAAGAGCAAACACCCATACACATACAATAAAAATAAATCTTTTGGGTATGTGCATGTGACTTTCAGAGACAATGTTTCTTTGTGTAACAGTCCAATGGTTCTGGTTGTCCTGGCATTTGCTTCGTAGACAAGGCTGACTTTAAACTCACAGAGATCTGCCTGCCTCTGCCTCCCAAGTACTGGGATTAAAGGTATGCCTCATGGCTGCCCTGTTAAATCTTTTTTTTTAAAAAAAAAAAAGAAGACAAGTTCCCTCACTTCAAGAATACCCAGGCCCTCACTAAATAAGCAGGATTCCATTTAGGATTAGAAAGTATGATAAAGTGTGTCCATCTGAAATGGGGTTACAGGGAATTGAGTTTGAGTCTGAGAGTGTAGCTCAATGTCCTAAGGAAAAGAAAGACCTACATACTCAACAGCACACAAATCCAGCTAACTTACAAAGGTGAGACCTCACTGTTGGTACCGGTATACACTAATTTCTATTGAGCCTACTGTAGTAGACTCAGTAGTACTGTCGAGCTATTGTAGATTTATGTGAATTCATGACTGTTCAGGGTACTTCTGTGGTGGGGCCTCCACAGGAAAGGAAAGCTGTTGCCCTAGGACTGCAGGAAAATCTGCTGGGAAATTCCAGCTGCCTTGCTGATGAGGAAGTGGGGCCTCAAATAGGAAACCGAAAGTGAATGGAAGTTCTGGTCACCCCAAAGCCTGGCCTGCAACAATGTTCTATTTTAATGTTCTGAGTCATCTGTGTTGGGAGTGAAATGAGAGGGATCAGCTGAACCACCTGGGAGAAGAGGGGGCTGTGGACTTGGAGCCCCAGATGGAGAAAGTTGAACTGGAGTTGTAGGCACAGCCTTCACCTCAGCTGCCCGGGGCCTGCTGCGAAGGCTACAGCAGGAATTGCACCCTCACAACCGTACTTTCCTGTGCTGTGTTTGTCACTAAACTACCAGTATCTTAGAGATCTCCATTTTGTTGGTTTGAGGCTCTCAATAAACAACAGAGAGTTTTCAGACTTCAGCACGTCCCGGTCACCTCAGAGGGCTGGTGGCAAATGCTTCCCCACTCAGCCACATTCTCTGCACTAAAGTGTCTAGAATAGAGGTGGGCTGGGTCTAGTTCCCCCACCCTCCCTGTGACCAGGATGCAGTAATCTGTTCCCCTAACATATGACCAGCATTTGGAGACAGCTCAAGAGAAGAACACACTCCATAAGGGTTGTGTCTACTGGAGTAGTGACCGCTGGGATCAAACTAGGAACCCTCTAACCCTCTGAGGTGGTTCTCAACCTGTGGGTCATGACCTCTTTGAGGGTTCAAAAGGTCCTTTTGCAGGGGTAGCCTAAGACTATCGAAAACAGAGATATTTACATTAAAATTCATAGCAGTAGCAGAATTACAGCTATGAAGTAGCAACGAGAATAATTTTATGATTGGGGTCACCACAGCACATATTATAGGGTCGTAGCAGTAGGAAGGTTGAGAACCACTGCTCTAGGAAAAGAGAAAATGAGAAAACAGGTCCTGCTGTCAGCTGTCTGTGGAGCACGCCCTGGTGAAATCAAACCTAGGACAACAAGGTTCTTGCTTTCCAAAGGGATTCAGCGCCCTGCAGGTCTCTCCTGCCTCCTGACCAGGCTTTCTGAAAACCTGTGTCAATACCCTCTACACCTGTCTATTTCTTTCATTTTTGATTCTTGGATTCCTGTTGGGCCATTATCTTTCCTACAGCCTGGCTTCCTCAGTCCCCTTGCCCCTCCTCTGCCCCAAAATTTTCACAAATTCAAGGACAAGAGGGAGGAGTGTCTGCATTCCGAGGATGACCCTGGCCTACAAAATCTCAGTGGGTAACTAATGGTGGCCTTCCAGAAGCCACAGGTCTGGGGCTTTCAATCACCCACCTAAGTAGGCAAGGCTGGGCCTCCCTGGCAGACTACAGACAAAAGTGGGGAACTTTCAACTGCTCAACTATTCCTGTGCCTTCCTGCAATGAGGGAACACTCCACAGAAACTCCTACCCCAGCTCAAAGCTCACAGCCACTTCAGGCTTGAAGTGGAAGAACAAAGCAGGAACTTTGTCCAGGCTGTGGTACAGGAGCTCAAGGGCTTTTCCCTCCTCAAGGTCACCTCCCGGGGGCTGGAGAGTTGGCTCAGTGGTTAAAAGCTTTGCCTGCTCTTTCAAAGATCCTGAGTTCCATTCCCAGCAGCAACCACATGGTGGCTCACAGCCATCTGTAATGAGACTTGGTGCCCTCTTCTGGCCAGCACTGTATATGTAATAAATAAATAAATCTTTAAAAAAAAAAAGATAACCTCCCCAAAACAGCACCCCTCTCTCCTGACAGCTGGAACCCTGTGGTACTAGCTGACCCACAACTCCTCAAGATTCTTAATTCTTTAACTGTACCATATAACAATATAATAATAATAATATCAGGAAAGGAAAGGAGGGAGCGAGAGAGAAAGAAAGAAAGAAAAGAAGGAAGAGAGAGAAAGGAGAGTGGGAGGAAGGAAAGGAAGGAAGAAGACAGAGAGGAGGTAAGAAGAAAGAAAGAAAGAAAGAAAGAAAGAAAGAAAGAAAGAGAAGGAGGAGAGAGAAAGAAGAGTGGGAGGAAGGAAAGGAAGAAAGAAGACAGAGAGAGGGAGAAAAGAAGGAAGGAAGGAAGGAAGGAAGAAAAGAAAAGAAAAAAGAAGAAAAGAAAAGAGAAGAAAAGAAAAGAGAAGAAAAGAAAGATCAAAGCACTGGAAGCTTCACAGTGCCAGGAAGCTTCTGTAAGAGCAAGGGGAACCACCACTCCCACTCCGGAATGGGCATGCCACTCGGATTCTGCGATCTCCTGCTCCCAAGGCACTGCAGCCACATTCTGGGCCTAGCACCCGTGACCCGAACCCCATGCGGGGCAAACCTCTTTGGCCTTAGGGCCCTCACCATCCTCCCGGGAGAAGAGCACCAAGAAGCTCAGCGGGCTCCCAGGCAGTTGGACGACCTTGCACTCTCCTCCACCCGACTTCTTTCGGCTCTGGAAGTATGTTTGCAACTTGTTGATCAAGGTCTTCGGGGAGTCGGGGACCCAAGATCCCTCGACCAGCAGTGGGAACTGCCCGGACGCTGCCATCCTGTCTGGCCTGCAAAACCGCGACTGTCCAGTCGCCCAAAGCAGCTCAGAGTTCACTTTGAGTTAACTTCTCTTTTGCTTTCTATTTCACCTGGCTGTCCCTGG